CTGTATCTGGTAGCATATCGTCAATTGTTTCAGCTGCATCTCACAACGGCCGTGATAGTCCTTCGCCATTATCTCAAACATCAACTCGCGAATTTTCAGATTCGAGGCCAAGCACTGCAGGCGCTATCCTCGAGCGTACTCCTGATCAAGCTAACACGCCATCTTCACCAAAACGTCGAAATTCGATTCCGACATTACTCAATTTTGCTGAGGCTCCCAAAGCGGAAGATCCTGAACCAAGTCCGACAAGGAAGCGCTGGTCATTTTTCGTTCGAGACTCATCAACTGGAAATACATCACCTGGCAAGAGACCACAGAGCGCCGGGTCAATTGATCTGTTAACAAAGGCATTGCCCGTGACTGGACACAGAGTTGATCTAGTTGGCCAAAATGCTGAAAACGCCACCGTCAAGAGTAAGAGCAGCAAAAAGAGTAAGAAGAAAAAGAAGAAGGTGAAAGGCTGGGCTGGGGCTATATTGCCACGAAAGCCTAAATCTCACAGCAAGCGATCAAAATCTGAAGGCGGCCGACCTCCAACTCCTCCAGCCCCTAGAGTCGCTCCATACGAAGGCGAGGATGCCATGTATGGAGAGCCTGAATTGTTGGAAATTTCGACACCAACTCTCACAGTCACCGAATCCCCCAACATCCCTCAAGATGAAGCACCGAAGCGATCAGCAGATGAATCATCATATCCTATGATCGACCTCGACGCAGCTCTCGGCCCGTTCAACACTCCTCTACCACTCAATCCAGAGTGGGAGGCAGCGCAACGAGCTGCTGGCGGTGCCGGTAAGCGGCGACTCCATAGTGCTCAAGGCATGAAGGGCTTTAGTGGTCCTGGTATGCATTATCATCGTCGAGCAGAATCTGCTCCCGATCTACCTCCATTTGATCCAGGCCGTGCTGGCATGCACCGCTACAACAGTAGTTCAACAATGGCCGATGTTTTCGAAGAAGATGAAGAGGATGACGACGACAACGCCAGATCTGGGACAACAGATGACTCTTCTGAAGAAGAGACTGACTCTGACAGTGATGCTACACCTCCAGCTGCTGTTACAAGAGATCCCTTACGTGACTCGCAAGACAAGCTTTCAATACACAGCTCAAGTCAACCGAACCAGGCCATGAGACGAACCACCTCCAGCCTGAGTGACAAGGATCAAATATCTGCGACTACGGTGCGGGGTGAGCGCTCGAGGTCATCTTTACACGAAAGCGTTATCGCCGAGGAGATGCCAAGTGTGATTTTTCGATCCCCTTTCATGCCTGCTGAGCGAACCGAGGCTACTGATTCTACCCCTTCTTCATTGAGAAGGTTCTCAGGCACCAAGGATCTGTCACCTGGTGAAGTCAGCCCCTTGCATCTTCCTGCACCAGCCAATGTTCCGAACAGCCCTTATGCTATGAGCTACTCGTCTTCTTTCCCGTCTCCTCGGTCTCCTATGTCTGTTGAAGTCCAGCGAATCTCAACCGCTCCCTCATCAGTTACCGACGAGAACAACTTTCGGTCTCTGCTTTTGATGGGAGAGCCTGGACCCGAGGTTCGAGTTTCGGTGGATTACGATATCCCGTCATTGACATCTAGCAACTCTACAATGACGAGGGAAAGCATGTTCCTGCCCAGCCAGCGTCAATCCCAGCCCGCTCTCCGAGAACCTCGACCAGTTTCGGTTTCCTCTGCTGCTTTCGGACGACGTCGATCAAGTCTTGCCAGCCTCAGCCGTCTCATCAGTAGCTCGCACGGTGAACGGAGCAAGCTCTCAATGGAGGTCACACTGGACAATGACGAGAATCACAAGAAAGCGAAGAGTAGCCGAACGAAGAAACTGGGTCGAATGATGCAGTTTTGGAAGCCCGCTAAGGAGAAAGAGGGGGAGGCGAAGTAATGAATGAGATATGCGACTTGAAGAAACTCTACAGCGTTGGCGTTCTATGACTGCCGTTGCAATTGCACGGTGCATGTACAATATTCTTTATGGCATCCCACAACCGAGAAGCTTTACTCGGCAGCCTTATTAAGTCGACTCTATTTGGGGCCACTGCATGGAGTAATGGCCATATGAACATTATTGGTCAAGAAGCAAGGCATCAACCGAACTGGTACGGGCCTTGGATCGATGGAAACCCAAGTATTTTAGTTTGAGGAACGGAATGGGGCGCAGAGGTTAATGATTGCATGAATAGCATTGGTATCTGGCATTGCCTCAGGTACCTGACTCCCAGGTCGACAGGGCCGATGGTTGAGTCAGATACTTGGGTAACTTTGACTCCTCAGGGAGTTGGATAACCCAAATGTGGCATCTATGCCGCTGTCAATATGAGATCTAACTAGGTATTTTGCGGAGGCGGCTGGTAAATGCACAGAACTAGTAATGAACATAGTGCTGAAATGACTCTGAGCTTGAATTTTACGACGTGAGTGAGGTATGCCTCGTAACCCTATTCCTGACATGATGAATGTTGGGTCTGTTTCGGGACAAGGATGATATTGTAGAGGTTGGGAAGAAGGTGATCACATTCTCCAGACAGGTACAAAGCCAAATAGTCAGGGGTCATTAAGTCGTGAGATATATTCAAGAATGCTGCCTTGCAGTCTCTATGTAAAAGCACCAGTAATATGGCGATGAGGGCACAATAATCCTCCCAAGTAAATCCCTACCATTCCATTCCGTTCCGTTCCGTTCCTGAAACGCCTCAAGCAAAGCCAATTGCGTGCGTCTCGTCAGTCAAAAAAGGTAGTGTCAAAAAGTCCGAAGCAAAGACGCCATCTCGCTGAAGTAACTTCACATCCACTTCTTGGCCATATCAGCAAAACCGCCCCAAGTATCGCCACCACCGCCGCCACCGCTGTAGGAGTGCGTGTCGCGCTCTACGCGAACAGCGCTGTTGCCGCCGAAACCGCTGGCCATGCGGACAGCTTCGCCTACGAGGCCGGAGGAATCGCCGGTGGCAGCCTTGGAGGCGACACCGAGCATGCGCTCAATGGCTGGTGGGATACGGAGGCCGAAGCGGGCAAGAAGAGCAGTCAGAGCTCCGCCCGTGATGAGGGGCATGATAACGACGAAGAAGACCTTCCATGGGTGGCGCTTAGCCCAGTGGACGAGGTCGCGGAGGAGGCGTTTGAGCTGCTTGTATGTCTTCTGGACAAAGCCTTGACGTGGGGAGCGCTTGTAGTAAGACGAGCGACCTAGGGAGTCAGCTAGTTAGCAACATTTCGACCTCAAGGTATGAGGCTGGGAGGGAGGTGGGAGGGAGGGGTAGAATTACTGTTTCCAAAGAAGCTGGAGCGGCTGTTGTTACCGCCAAGCCCAAAGAATGAAGAGCGCGAGGAATTGTGCTTGCCATAGCGATCTCCGCCAAAGAAGGAGTCTGCCATATCGGCGAAACCACCACGACCACGCTCACGGGAGCTAGAGCGGGAGCGGGATCGCGAACGGCGTTTCTTGTGAGAGCGAGAGGATTTGTGACGGCGAGATCTGCCTGAGAGGACAGAGGCACCGTCGTTCCAGTCGAGGAAGCCCATATTTTTTGAGGATTCTCGTTGGGAAGTTTTTGGTGGTGAGGTTTCAGAATGAGAGAGAGAGTGAGAGAGAGTGAGAGGGAGAAACCTCAGACTGTGCGCATTCGGGAAAGAAAAGGGCGCTGTTAACTCAATTGGAGAATTGGGTCGTGCCGTTGATTGATCCTCACTTTAATTGTGAGGAAAATCAGGATCGGAACGAGCGAGGAGACTAAAGATGTGCGCTGCTGCGAACGAGATGCAAGTCAGAGCTGTATGTCCTGTACGAGTGAGGTACAGTAGTGTCAAGTCTCGGAGGGGCCACGGCGGGCACGCACGCACGGGACACACACGCGATGATCCTTCTTCACCGTAAATTCGAGTGGCTGGAGATACGATTCGCGCGTTTCAGGGGTCTCTTGTGGCTACTCCACCACTGTACAGTTGCAACCCCTGAGAGCTGGGAGTGTCGTCCAGTCCGAGTCTTTTCTTCTCGTTTTAGCTTGGAGCTTGGCTTTGTTGAGTTCTGATTCTCTGCTGCAGTCTGCGCATCTCGCGGCGAACTGGCCTGAACGGGACTGAACTGAGGAGAGACGTATGTAGAGAGGAGGGGCTGGAAGTGAAAACTGAAGATGCAGGGGGGTCCAGTATTGATTGATGATCCTCCACAGTGAAATTGACGAACGATATGCGAGAGTCGCTTCGAGCAGCACGGTTCAGTATTGTTGACTTGCTCTATGAGGTGACGGAGGCTTAATTAATTACCTATTTATTTGTGAATTCGCAAAAATGGTACAACCCTTGTGTATCCACTTGTCTTGTGTTACAGAGGCTGAGTACCTCAGAGAAATATCCCGGTTGGATTGGATTGCATGATAGATACATGAGCGAGCACACGCACGACTTTATACCAACAACAACAACAACAACAACAACAACAACGTCTTGCTGTAACTGCAACTGTTACCGTTACAGCACAGCACAGCACAGCACATACTTTGCCACGGAGGACCACTTATGTAAAAATCAGCAGACGGTGAAGCCCGAGGCTACAGCAATTCAACAGTTCGCGTATTCTACAGCACAACCTAACTCGCTACTGTACACATCTTTAGCGAGGGCCCGACTTACATGGATGATGTTTGCTGCCCTGAGTCAACCAATTGCCAACTCAACCATGCTCAACCTCGCTGTTCTGTTCAGAATTTTCACAAACTGACTCACAAATATCGAATACTTGATCAACCGTTAGACACGTTGAAGTGACCCATAGGGCTGAAAAGCCAAAATGGAGACCTCGCGTGCCGTCCCGCTGTGGCCCACGTACGTTTGAGAGAGTGCGCGATCGTGAAGGGAAAAATTCCCCGTGCTGAGAGAGAACCCTTACACCGCCAATGCTTATATCGTGAGTTTAAAGTGTTTCCATGTCTTTATCTGGCCTGATAATAGTGATGATTTAAGACAGTATTTATTTGTTGAAGTGAAAATTGCATGCTTAGGTTTTGCTACGGCCCTTATAGACCTCCTTTATCACCTCAAAGTACTCTGCAAACTCATCACTGATAAGTTTGCATGGCATCATTCTGTCGTTAACCTGAAGGGTCTGAGGAATATAGGGGATGGGTGTCTTGGGCCCCTGCCTCAGCAAATCTAACGATTCGCATCCAGGCAAGTGCAACGATGACTTTCGTGTTGTATTCCTTCGCTCTGAACCTCTCGTCTCGGTCCCATCTGGTGATAGCGTCTCGAATTCCAGTGCTTTTGCCTTGGTTATCCCTTCCTTGTACTTGACGTAACTTAGTCGATGGGGACCCTCCTGCTGCCTTGTCTCTCCAGACAAGACAGAACTCTTTGCCCTCTGACTCCCATCAGAACTAAACTCGACACTCAGGTAGGCGGGTTTGTTGGCCAGCCGATTAATGTTACCTATCTTGCACGGTTGCTCCTCGCTTGCGCTTTGATGGAGTAATGGGAAGGTTGTCTTTGAGATATCCAGCTTCAAAGGATGTCTCTTTTAATGTCCTAGGGGCCAGCTGAGGAAGGGATATATATCTGAGTTTCATTTGAGTCCCAAAGTTGGAAAACTCGAGCGAAGAAAGAGGTCCGCAGTTCATGTGAAATCACTTGGTTATGGCCTTCGCATAAATACTTACCTGTTCAGCTGTCTAGAGCCATGTTCTAGAGTATTCTGGAGACTATGGCTGACGATATCCACAAGTTGGACAAGTTGGGTGAAATGACAAGTGTTGTCAGCTAATGTTCAAGGGAAATGGCAGATGTGGCACAACAGGAGATGCTAGATTTGATGTAGTCAAACTTGATGGGTCTCATTAAAGGCACTAGTTGGACCCTTTAAAAGATTGGATGGACATGAGGTGTGATCTGTATTATAGTTCCTTGAGTCTGATTGTCTACACGTAAACTTGACTTGTGCTTATTTGAAAATGCCATCAATCGCCGAGCAGATGGCTGGAACTCTATTGAATGAAAAGACCCCATTGAAGACGTGTGGAAGAGAGAAGACCAAATTGGCTCCATTGCAGCTCTTATATGACCCCATGATGTGTAGATGAGCCCTCACACCAAAATGACCCCTTTATAACCACCCCTTGAATACCCACCAACGTCTCCGGCAACGGTCTAGAACTTGTCGTCTGAATATACCTTTTTCAAGGCATGTTTCGACAACCCAATGACCCCATCTGATCCCACGTCAAAGTCGGCTGGGTTGATGAGCCCAGCTCTGCCTGCGACACGGAACACCTCGTTGTGGACGACACTCAGGTATCGACCAGCGACTTCGGGTGAGAACGAGCCCATTTCCAAGGTAACCTGGGATGCTGGCTTCATCTTCTTGGAGATGGGGTTGTAGAGCTCCTCCTGCATCTTTCGCTTCAAAGATGCATGAGGAGTTGTGAGAACCGAGCTGGACTCACTGCTATCCCACAGCAGGGATTCCAACACCCGGATCTTATCTTGAAGTCTCGAAATTACCTCTCCTTGAGAGACCGAGGATGACCCCTCAAGGTCGGCATCGCCATCTGATGACTCAGGTTTTTGAGTCGTGACACCCCCAATTGTGCTTGGTAAAGCAGGCTCAATGGGGGCATTGGTGCTTGTGTTTGACCCCTCTTGTGGTTCATGGGGCAGTGTCGAGTCCTTGGTATTCTCCTTGGCTGCTTTCTAAACAGCGCCTGGAGACTGACGATCAACGGTCAAATTGGGGTCTTCCATGATGCAACGGGAGAGTCCAATGGGACCAAAGAAGGCGAAGAGACGAAGTTGGCCCCAATATGAAGGTCGATATGGCCTCTTCTTGAAGGGAGTCTTATTGTGAGATTGGTACTGCTAGGACCATGTTTCATTAGGGAGAGGAAATGGAGGATGATAAGGCGAAACATACCACAGAAGTAATCGCGATGATTGAGGACTTGACTTGCGACAGCGATAGCAACAGTATGATAAAGCGGGCTCTAACAACAAACTGTTAGTGATAAAGAGTTTCAAGATCGGAAGGGAAGTGACATACCATGAGTCAAAAGACTCTACCTGAGGTGTATTGCTTCACAGGCGAAGCTTCGTTTGGGAGCGTATGACGACAGAGGACGAGGACACAACGGCCGGCAATCTGGCAATCGATAATCAGTAAAAGAAGCGTAGAGTATTCATAGAATACTGCTTTACCTTGAAGCGTTTTATCGTCTGAGTCCCGAGAGGCTGGGATCCAACACACCCGTGAAGCTTGAATGTGTGAATGAAAGGATGCGAGGGAAGACAATCAGAGGAGAGAATGGAACGAAGGAAGATTATATAGAGAAGCTGAGAAAGTAAGGAAGCAACTAGAAAGCAATGGAAGGAAAAGGATGCATCAAGATGCAACGATGGTATGAATTGTGGAGATTTTTGTTTCTCAGGAACGCATCAGTGAATGAGCTGCCACGTCATACAATAGATTTGACAGTGATTCACGGTCAGTATACACCATGAGCCCTAGATCACTGACTAGTACCACATGGTCTGAGGGCAAAGAGAAACGGTTCCAATATACCCCTGAACCAGCATCACGAGATGCTCACGTCTGGCACGTTCCTCGAGTAGATCCAGGGCATTCCTTGTATGACAGAAACAAGCTGGCTCCAAGTCACAAGGTTCAGTTCTTTCATTTCGGAAGCTATTATTTGCATCAAGGTCGCATAGTCCTGGCCACTCGGTTCGCTGACACTGCAGAGAACCAGGAGCCAGAGACGAACAACCTGCAGGTCTGCACGGCAGTTCCATGGAGAATCAGCTTCTGCATCCTTTGATAATATTCTGAGGAGCGATGTGATATGTGTTTGAGCAGTGCCGGGATAACAGCGGCACCTTCGCTTCGTCTGTATGATCCAGATGATAGCCCCAAGCCGAAGTGACTCCAAGATTATTTCAAAAGGTGTATTGGACTGCTCAGGTTCCGATAGTTGTTGGTTTAGCAAGTCATGCGCCATGGGATTCAAAAGGAGATTAATTTGCTCTCCATCACTCCAGATGGCATCGCCCTTAGTCATCTCGCCGGTCCGGAGGAATGTGGCAAGTGAATTCAAGTCTCCCATACATGCAAGAACCGCAAGAAAGCGCTCATCATACAATGAATAGCCGTCAAGGAGGCAAAAAAGCGGATCTGGGAGCGTACTCAGGCCTGGGCGAACGGATGCGTCCATCCTCATGGGTAGTGGAAATAAGGGTTTCGTGTTATGCAGAAGTGCTGCCGTGATGTCGACCCTGGAGGACCATTAAGTCGCTGATGAATTTAACGGTTGAAGTAGCAGGAGGACTTCGTACTTACCACGATACCATGAGGAATAGGTCCTGATTATTCTCTACAGTAGAAATGCCGCCCCTGGCCTCAATCACCATCCAAATACCCCTGATGTGAACCATCGCTTGGTCGAAATCTAGGTTGGAAAACTACCATGATTTCAGTTACATGACCAAGAAGCATTACATATATGTACGACACTTACATTGTAGCAGATCAATGCCAGAACAGCACTGATAACGCTGTCTGATGTTGCCCAACTTGTATCAGAGCTTGCAAGTCTGGACTCGATACACTGAATTGTCATCAGTGAGCGCTCCAGCGCCATTGCCTTGAGTTCTAAAGATGATTGACGGTATAATGGGACAAGAACCTCTGGTGAACTAAAGATTTGCTGGTAGTGCTTCAGAAAGGCAGACTTCCTGAAGGCGAAAGGGGACCAAAACGTATTTGTCAAATACGCTGTATACCCAGGTTCAGTACGTCCAAGATACCTCGATGGATTATAATAGGACTTGGGTTCACTCACTGCCGCTCATCGCATTTTGCCCCGTGGTCATGATAAGAGTAAAACCGTATGCCGAGAACGAATCCTCTCCCCATTCCCTCTCGAAGACAGCCAATGCATGCAACCTAGGTGTGCTCATTGTGACCTGGAACTTCTCGGGTGTTTCAAAAAGACCATAGTGTCTTCTCTTTGGACTTTCTTGTTTGCCTGTGTCCTTTTGTGCCTGCCATGTCAGGGTGACAAACTGGCGGTCCTTTGAAGGCTTTCGTCGGGTCCGGCCAATATCAAGCATAACATGCCGACGAGCCTCGGAATCAACTGACTTATGGCGATTTCTACGTGAATGGAAATTATTTTCATTGGCATTAATAAAGAGGAGTCGTTTCTTCTCCGAAGGCTTATTCATCCCTGCCATCGTGACACCAACTAAACATGTGTCATAAAAGACAAAGCTTCAGGGAATTGGGTTGGGAAAACCACGCAAACAGTAATTTCAGTCAATTAAAGTCTAACACTAGAATCTAAGGTGACAAAAACTAAGCAAGGCCCACTGCAAGTTGAGTGTCTTTGTCTTGGGCGTCTGATTTCAAAGGCTCCGCGGAAGCTGACCAGATTGATAATCACACCAGGTTCCAAGCAATAGCGCAAAAGATCGATCATTACCTTTTCCTGCGCACCATTTGCCGTTTTAGGTTGATATACAAGTATTCTTACTACATCTTTTCCATTTTTGACTTACCATTGCCCTTTTTTGGCAAGTGACCAACAGCAATTATGATCAAGGTGAATGCTGTGACACAGTCGATCTGTATCCTTTTAAGCCTCTTTTGTGATACCATGAACCCTTTGGAGTAAAAGAAGTTGTCAAATTGATGCTTGGTTTATGTAGGCAAGAATAATGAATAATGATCTCGACTTTTGAACGCTGTGTATAAATATGAACCAAGAGCCATCAGCAAAGAGAAGCATCGAAAATTCAGAATCGAAGAAAAAAAACATCAACATTTGACCTCTAACTATCATCAAATATTTGCTCAGATTTAGACCCTACACCACCATGTCAGCCGAGAATACGATCACTTTCTACTGCGAAGGCACTCCCAACCCACTCAAGATCTCCATTGCACTTGAGGAACTGGGCTTGAAGTACAACGTACAAACCCTAATCCCAAAACATTTATGTCTACTTCTCACGTAGTCCATATATTTAGGCTCGTACAATCAAACTATTCGAACACGAACAGAAAGAGGAGTGGTTTCTTGAAATCAACCCGAACGGTCGTATCCCAGCCATCGTCGACAAAGACGAGCATGGAAACGAAATCAAGATCTGGGAAAGTGGTGCCATCTTGCAGTATCTTGTGGAACGGTATGACAAGGACCACAAGATCTCGTATCCCCGTGGTACCAAAGAGTACTGGCAGATGGCGAGCTGGGTAAGCCTGATACCTACGAGTTACTCCTGAAGAGATATCTAATCGAAGCCCCCATAGCTCTTTTGGCAAGTCAGTGGTCTCGGTCCTATGCAGGGCCAGGCAAACCACTTTGAGAGTACGTTCCCAGTATTGAGGCAAGATAAAAGGAGTAACTGATCTGATATACACAGTGTCTGCTTTTGGTGATTATCCCTATGCCCTGGACCGATACGTCAACGAAACGCGCCGCCTCTACCGAACGATGGACAAGGCTCTTGCAGAAAATCCATCTGGATATCTCGTTGGCGATCACCTCAGCATTGCCGACATCGCCATTTGGCCATGGACTACCGCATACAGTAAGCCTTTCACTCAGGGATTTTGCACATTCAGGCA